AAAATTCCAAAATGAAAGCTTTTAATAACAGAAGGTCCTTAAAGTCAGGACAATCCATAGATGATGGAATCTTTTCAACAAACAAAATGAACAAAAATGAATACGGCTACAACTATTCATTTGAGAAATTAAAGACAGTAGCTGTTATCTTCACAGAGGATTATTGTTCCCTCCGTGTACTCATTCAATAATTACACTGGCTAGTAAAATATCACTCTCGTTCCATCATCTCCCATCCTTGACAAGCATTAGGAAGAAGGAAAGAAGCATTGGAACAACCTTCAAATTGTATTTGAGATCAAATGTATTCCATGCCAGGAAGAGGGCAGGAAAAAGAAGCACAGATTTTTAAATACTAAAGGCATTTTTTGGTCCTCAACTGAAGCAATTTCATGCTTAGAGCAGCTCTCCGGATACTTCCACCAGTTTTAGAATGTAACTTTCATTCACTCCAAATGACGTAGTCAGAGGCTAAGGCTCATGAAAATTACAGTTAAAAGCACTTAGAAAGGGAGACTAACGGAGCACAATACTTAAAGAAGGCTCAGTCTCCACCAATCCCCACGTTTCTGCATCAATTACTGATTTAAAAAAAAAAGAAAGCAACTTCAGAAAAGTGACTCATCCAGACACACAACAGGCAACCAAGAGACTAAGTTTAATTCTCTTGAACCTTCAGAAACATCAGAATGTTCCACTAATATATTTTGATGACTTATATTCAGCATAAGCTGAATGTATCTTGAGCAAATGTGACCAGTAATTCTTCACACTACTACCCCCTCTTTGACACAATGGTGCCCTTCAATAAAATGCCAGAGAAATTATCGCCAATGGTGACTCCCCCCCCCCAATCACTCTTATTACCCATACTAACCTTTTCATCTTCTGGTATAGGTATTTTCTGATCAAAGTAGGTGGTAAATTCATCCGTAGAGTCTGAAGCCTCTGGCGATACTGGGTTGCTGTAAATGGTACTAACACCATCCCCAGTGGTATCTTCTGCAAAGCATGAACACAATGATGTGATCAGGAAAATGGAGGAAGAGCAGAAGAGTATCAAGTCGGATGTAATTTAAGTGCATCATGTTATGCTTTATCCACCGGGGGGGGAAAAAAAATCTCATGCCATTTGAAAATATTATCCATTATATTATGGAATCAATACATTTGCAGGGAGCCAGGTAGGATGATCTAATCCGTATCACAACAATGAACTTAAATTAACAATGGCAGAGCTAACCATTCCTTGCACACAGTAACTGAATACACACACACACACACACACACACCAAGTTGTTATCATTTATGCAAAGGTGTGTGGAGATGGTTGTATTATGCACAATTATGCAAAGGTATTTAATCCTTAACTGCATATTCGTTTGGTAAAGCAAACAGAAAACTGAAATTTGATTCAAAGACACACATACAGACTTAAATCATGTTAGATAGGACTGACTGCATCTATACAGAATAGATGCTCTTCCCAGAACTACAACTAAACACAGACAAACTTGATAGCTTTTCCAATCCCCAGATGTAGCTCTTAGAAGACACACATATTCATTATCCAAGACCCTGCAGAAGCAGAAGAAAAAGGAGAAGGGGACACACCCTCGTGCCCGGTGGACACTATAAAGAATGACACCGGGATGATCGTGGTGGATCTGAAGGAGGCAGTGAGAAACAGAGGGGGGTCATGGAGAGCGCCAATCCATACAGTGGCCAAGGATCAGACATGGCTGAATGGCCAACAACAACGACAGTCCAGACTGATGGAAGTGTTAGGGCCGACAAAGAACCTCTAACTTTGACAGAAAGCTATAAATCTATATGGGTGATTTTCTGCTGCAGCTATGGAGTTGTCTTTGGATGAAAACACCTATCATTCTTTGGGACATTTCCCTATAATCCCAATTGCATGTTAACATGCCTTCATTTGATTACAATGATAGTTTGACTGCTTCTGGCTCTCCCTTTGCAAGCTGTAGCATTCTGGGATAAGAATGTTCCCCCCCCCCTTAACTATCACATAACCATCTACCTCCCTTTCCTTATCTGTTTGTTTGAGAAATTATATGTCTGATTGAACGTCTACAGAGTGGGGATCTGGGCACTGTTAAGATTCTCATCTTGCAGACATGCAATCAAATACTGTTAAAGTTTTACCTACCGTACTCTGTTTATGTCTGCTTAAAAGAATTTATTTTGATATGCTTAATTGTAACCCTATAGTTGCCAACTCATTTTTTTCCTCCCAAACCTTCTATATATTATATATATATATATTTTCATTTGAAGTTATTGCGTGTTTTATTCATTCATGAAAGAAATTCTGATCTTCTTATTTCCCTACCTAAAACTCAGTGGCTACTCACTTCTGGAACCCAGATGCTGGATTGGGCTGATTTTCAGATCTGTTCATCAGGGCTGCTTTGAAATGCAAACATTTTACCTCGTTAATGGGCTCCGTAGCTATATTTCCTCCTAAACTTAGATCAACAGTTTAATCTGGGCATTCTATTAAAACCACATCTTGATTTTGTTTTGGAAAAGCGTTGGGAATAAACTAAATCACTTCCATCACCCTAACAAGAAATAGATCAAAGGGTTATAGGGACACCACGTTCCATAGAAAGCATTCACAATATCGGTACTTCTCCTCAAAATAGCAAAACAACCCACCCACAAGGAAGAAGTTAGGTCTGCAAACAGTTTCATAACACAGACAATAATTTTATATGTACTGCCTCTCCCCTCCAGTGCTCCAATTGTACTCACTCTTGTATTCAAGTTTGTATTCTCCACGGGGCATTATAGCTCAGCTCTGCTTCCACAGATTTTAAAAAAAACCAGACTGACACCTGCCTCCTCGGGATGTACAGAAGTGACCAATTTATAGCTAGAACCCGGAGCAGTAAAGAGAGAGCGATACGGGGACTGCGGGCGGTTCTGTTGATTGAGACAATGAACTTGGTTTCTCCTCCTACATCTCCATTCTCTCCGCCTTCCAAGGAACAGGAGTTGCCGCTGGGGTTTTCGTGAGAGCTTTAATGCAACAGCTACCCTGTGTCACGAAAACCACGCCCCAAAACAGCTAAGCTCACCTTGGCTCAGCTAGTTAACCAATGCTGAAAAAAAAAAAAGTCTAAGGAAAAGTAAGTAGCACACAACTCGAACCTGTTGCCAGCAACTTCCTTGAAGTTGCACAGTAAATAATAAGCAACTTCACCAAAGAGGTAAGCTCCAGCAGGACTTCTGGCAGACAGCAATGTAATGGAATGTCCTCTCTTAAGTAGGTATGTTAACTGCAGGTCAGCAAGGAAAATAGTTTGTTCTACCAGGAAATAATAGAATGGTTTCTATTCATAACCTACTGGCAGGGCGGCTTATTTGGGAGGAAGATGATTAACCATCTTATGCAGAACTACAATGGGGGAGAAAGACATTTCAGCTGGGCGATTTAAATCAGGAATGTCCCAGATTTAGGCTTCATTCTGCGCTAGGTGAACTTTCAGATTCAAAAGGATTTAGCCCCAAGCGGTGCTCTACTATAGGTAGCGTTCCCAAAAGCTCAGGGAACTGCACAGAGAGCAGGGGTGGGTTCTAAATTTTTTTATTACTGGTTCTGTGGGCGTGGCTTATTTTGTGGGTGTGGTTTGATGGTCATGTGACAATTCTTTAGGATTTAGAAGAGGTACTGGTCTACCAGGCTTTTAACTGCTTGCAGAGCTGTACCGGTCTACCCATTTGTTCTTGGAGCGTTCCAGTCTACCCATTTGTTTTTGGAGGCACCAGTCTACTCATTTGTTTTTCGAGCGCACCGGTCTACCACCACACTGCCTTTTAACACTGATCAGCTGTAGGGCGGCCCTTTGAAGCCCTGCGGCAAGAGTTTAAACTGTTTTTTTCCTTCTAGCCGATCAGCTGGGACTCAGGAGGCATCAAATAGATTGGAGGTGGGGCCAAATAAAAGGTAAGAAAAATGCGGGGGGGGCGGGGCGGGATGGCCCAGCTCCCGAACAAAGAGAACCGGTTCAGTGACGTCATATCATCACCGCTACCAGCTCGGCCGAACCGGGAGGAACCCACCACTGACAGGGAGCCCTCAACTTACAACAGTCCAATTAGTGACCAGCTGAAGTTACGACATCACTGAAAAAAGTAACTTGTGACCATTTTTCACCATTACAACCATTGCAGCATTCCCATGGTCACGAGATCATGACATTTGGATGCTTGACAAAAGGTTCATATTTATGACGGTTGCAGTGTTCCAGGGGAAGTCATGTGACGCCTCCTTCTGACAAGCAAAGTCAAGATTCACTTAACAACCGTCTCATTAACTTAAGAACTGCAGTGACTCACTTAACCACTGTGGCAAAAAAAGGCTGCAAAAATGGGACAAAATTCACTTAACAACTGTCTCACTTAGCAACAGAAATTTTGGGCTCAATTGTGGTCCTAAGTCGAGGACTATCTGTATATGATTTTTTGGGGGGGGGGATCTCTTCTGGGTTTTTTATTGTTGTTGTTGTTTTTTACTGAGGCCAAACCAATGATCTCTGAACACCCTTAGCTTTATTTTGGGAAGTCCATCAGGACCTCCCTTTTATAAAACAAGCCACTTTTTGTACCCTTACATTTCCTTTGTGAAAATACTGGGATGATTTGAAATTCCACAAACTCTTGTTCGTATCAGAGAAAGGGGCAAAGTTAAGAGCCACACAGGATGGCGTCCAAGGCAGGGGTGAAATGCTCCTGGTTTGGACCGGATCGCCCAATCCAGTAGCGATGGAGGCGGGTGGTTCAGAGAACCAATAGCAAAAATCCCTTCCCCCCCTACCCCCCCATGCCCAGCTAAGCAGCACAATCATCAGAGGCTTTTTTTTACCTTTAAAAGCATTTTTTCTACAACCTCTTTGGCCAAAAAATGCTTTTAAAAGTAAAAAAAAAAAAAAAAAAAAGCCTCTGATGATCGTGCGACTCAGCTGGGATCTTCAAAGGCTTTTCAAAGAAAAAAAGCCTTTTTTTCTTTTAAATGCCTCTGACGATCCATTTGAGTTGCCTGATCGGCGAGAAAGGTCGTAAAACGGGGTAAAAACTCACTTGTCTTGCTTAGCAACGGAAATCATGGCTCAACCGTGGTCGTAATTGGAGGACTAACTGTACTGACACCAGAATGACGAAAGCAGCATTGTGGTATCCTGTTGCAAGCTCTGCCGTTTCTGGGCTTGAAATGTTGCAATGTATATCGAACAGGGGGAGGGTCTGGGGTTGCAATGCAGCATTGGCTTCTTTCAGCCTAACCCCCTTGTTGTTTCCCCCCACCCCATTCTCCAGTTCTGCTGTGCCTTCAGGGAAACCCACAAAAGGTAAGACTGCAATTGTACAATCACTAATCTTCCTTACGAGAGACACAGGGGGCTTATCAAAATTAAGATAGAGCCATCTTATCTTATACTAGCAGCCACCTATGAGTCAAAATGCTTTTTAAAGCCATCCAAACGGAGAACAGCACTACAGGACAGAGAAGCACAATCTCTACTTTTATTATGCCCTGTGTGAATCATTTTGGATCAGAAAAAAAAACAGAGAATGGAATACTGTCAATGAAAAATTTTGCCGACTATAATTTTGATTCTTTTGACATTTGGTCTCAAGTGAAGAACTACCTATACTTTTAACAGACTGGATCTTTAATCCCTTCAAATAATGTCCTAGAACTTGATTTATTTTCATTTTCTTCTTTGTCCCCCCCCCCCCCAAAAAAAATCATTCAAACCTTTAGCAAATTTCTTTTGCAAACTTAGTATAAGAAAGTTATCTGGGTCACACTTTTGGTTTATTATTTGTATATCTTTTAATTATTAAGACATCAGCTGGTTTCATGTGTGTCTCCAATGCAGCTTCTTTTTCATATCATTCCTGTAGTCTGTAATTTTTAAATCCACTTTAAACAATCTTGGTCTTGGTCAGATAAAACTTTTTCTTTTCCATAGCAACTTTTAAACAGTCTATCTATCCATAAGGGCAGACGCCCTCAAAGTTAACTTCTGAATCCATTGTTCACAAATATTCTTCAGTATGTCCATGTTAAAGAATTTTGCCCCAATCTGTATTAGTGAGTCAAATTTAAGTGTTCTTCTCCTCTCCCCAAAATAAATAATTTTTTAAAGACCTTAAATTGAAAACCTCTTTCGCTAAGAATTGAAGGCAATTCACCCAGTGCTATAAAACTTGTAGATCCAAAAGTTCCTAATAATTTACAAGCAGTTAAGAAGCAATTTCTGAAAGTGATTAAGAAATGAGGCTCAATGTACCAATAAGGCTACATTACAGGTAGTCCTTGACTTATGACCACAACTAAGCCTAAATTTTCTGTTGCTAAGCGAGATAGGTGTTAAAGTGAGTTTTGTTTCATTTTACAACTTTTTTTTTGCCACAGTTGTTAAGTGAATCACTGTAGTTGTTAAGTTAGTCACACGGTTGTTAAGTGAAATCTGGCTTCCCCCATTTGCTTGTCAGAAGGTCGCAAAAGGTGAACACATGACCCCAGGACACTGCAATTGTCAAATGAGTGACTTGCCAAGCGTCTGAATTTTGATCATGTGACCCTAGGGATGCTGCAACACTCATAAATGTGAAAAACAGTCGTAAGTCGCTTTTTTCAGTGCCGCTGTAACATCAAACAGTCACTAAACAAATGGTGTAAGTCAAGGACTACCTGTACATCTGTGAGCTTGACTGAAATTCCATAACTCCCTGCTGCTCGATTCACAAGCTGTAATGAAATGTGTGGATGATCTTGAGGAAAGAGGAGAAGAGAAGCTGCCTAGAAAACAATCTGACAAGAGAAGCAGGACCTCTGAAGGGCTTAACTGTCAGGAAAAGAAAAAAAGGATCTGCCTTAATTGATCAGTCCATTAAAAGCAACAATGGGAGGTTTTACCTTCAGAATGATTCTGTTAATGTTGCTTGACAGTAAAGTAGAATTAGTTCATCTAGTCCCGTTTCCTGTCTGGTTTACTTGAGGGATAACACAAGCTGACCACAAAAAGCTCAGTTCCTGTAGTATACTCTAGACTACTGTGTAGAGCAGCTGTTCAGAATGTAAGTGGACGATTTCACGATCTCTCTTTTTTCCAGAAAGACTTTGTTGAACAGAATTCACTGTCTGGCCACTGATCTCTGCCACCATGTCATCCCTGCTCCTTCAGGGGCAACTAATTCATCATAAATCCTCACTGGAAGCCTGCATGTGATGCAATTTCTTCTAACTTTATTTTGATGAGAAATAGATGTATTTTAGAATCTCTAAACTCCCTAATCAATAAACTCAATTTACTATCCTAGCCATACTGAGAACATTTTGTGTATTCTGCTGATTATAACTTCTATTTAACAATAACTTTGTGTGAACAAATAAATATACCATGGTTGTTTCCATTTAGACCAATATCAATAAAACTCAATGCTGATTTACATGATTTTATTTCTCTTTTCATGTGCACTGATCCTTTTCTGCTTAATTCCTTTGCTTCTATGACTAAGTATCAGCTGTCTTTTCCTCATATATTTTTCTCCCTTGTTAATTTTCTGCCTCAATTTCCTTACAAGGAAGTATCAAGTTAACTCTTTGTATACATTTTCTCAATGCAAAAATGTATTGTCTGATCACATTTTTCCACTTTGCGTTTATACTCTCTTCCAGAAAATTATAATGGCACAATCAAATTTTCACAGAATTTGAATTCCAACAGCTTAAGAGGGGAAACAAAGGAACTAAAAATGGAATTAAAAGCAAGCAAATATCTCTGTTTTGGCCATCTGAAGTTACAACTAAATCTGCTAAGACTTTAAAGAATCTATATTTTATCTGCAACTAGAAACTTGAAAATCTGATAGGTAAGAGGAGATCTATTTAAAAATATTTTAAGATTCAGGAAAATATATGTTCGACTATAATTTCATAATTCACAAACTTCTCGCAACACAAAAAATAAAAAGCAGACTAACTAAAACTCTGGCAGACAAGATGGCCACTCATCCAAATATCTTATGTTTATGTCACAAAGAGACTTAGTGCATGTGAGTACACACATGAATGAGTTTTTAGGCTGTAAAATGTTTTGAATAACAAAAAAAGACAAAAGAGTGATTGAAAGAATGTTATGGCCAAGTTAATACAGTAGGCAAGATTGGAATTACAAACACACACAGAGAGAGATGTGTGTGTGTGTGTGTGTGTGTGTGAGTGAGTGTGTGTATGGGTGTGTGCATACATGTGTGTATATGTGTGTGTGTATTACGTACTTTGTATCTATGGTGAACGGCTTTATGATAGACTCCGAAAGTGTTTAATCAAATATATGCTGATCACGCATGCACATACAAAACCATCTAAGAAAATATCTTCATGTCAAAATCCAAAACGCATACTTAAAATCCATTTCAAGTAATTTAATGTAAACTGTGCCGTCCCAGTTTTATAATCAGGTCACCTTGTACAGAAAGAATAAAATTTTAGAATTTACTATATTAGCCATCTGTCTGGCAAAACAGTATTATATTTTGCTTGCCAAGCCGATTAACGCATCACGTATATTAGTGGAAATAATAAACAGATTCAAAATGGCAAATATATTTCAACAATCCTAGGTATACAGATATTTCTTAATTGGAATTTTATAATAATGTCTCTTTAATTATTTAAACGTAGAGAACCAATAGTGATACTATATTCCATTCAAATGGTTTTTTTACTTCACTGTATTTGGATTTGTTATTGGAAACACTATTATTTTACAAAATTTATTATTTATTAAACACATATGCCACCCATCTCACTATCCAAAGTGACTCTGGGTAGTTTCCTATGCTACTATGAATGTGGTCTGTTTAGATTTGCCCCCAGTGTCTCTGATCAAAAGGTAATAAGGAAGAACCAAAAACTGCCAATAACCACATTCAACTTCTAAAAGTGGTTCAATAAAATGTTACTTTTCTCAGTGTTTTATTTTCTTAGTAAATTGGGACAAGACACCTATAAAGTGGTTTAAATATTATCATTTCGACCCTTTAAATTCAAACTTTTAAATAATCCTAGACATCAACCTTATTTAACTTTCTCTGACACATCTGAACGCTACAGACAAAACCAGTCTTAGCCTCGAGTATGTCTTAAGAATGTAGAGGAGTTTATAGCCTGAATGACAGTATTCCTCCCATAATGTTACTTGAAGATAAAGTTTTAAAAAACGTTCACTATCATGGATTGGGAGCTGGTGATAGCCTGATTGCAGAGCCATAACAATTATCTTGCAGAATATTGCTGGGTGGTTTAACAACTTGGCAGATTATGAATTTCTCTCCCAGTTCCAGATAGTTCACTTATGAGAAACCTGAGTTAATGAGAACGAGTTACCTTGGAAGAAATAAAACAATCAGCAGAATGTCTCCTTTTTTTCTCTTTTAACAACCCCGTAATCCCTTGCATCAGGATAGAGTCGGGGCGACTGAATGGAGCTGAGCATTTACTGGCCAGATGCCCTTCCTGACACCTACATGGAGTTCGCAGCAGAGATTTTCTCTTTATGCCCAGAGAGAGTAATATCTGCAGCTACCTAGGATCAAACTCACAGGCTGATTGTGAGGCAAAATCAGAACGTCTATATTTTGTCTTAAATATTCTGTTGCTGGGGTTGGAGAGCTTTTCACTAATTTTTCTCATTTTCATATTCCAAAGGGATGTTAATGCAAACTAAAACATAAATCTACACCCACTTTTCTGGAAGCAAGTCCCCTTAACTCAATGGAATATCCATTTATGAAGACATTTAGGATTTATGCTGTTCATACTTTGCACACATACATTTATAGGTCTCTCTTTCAAAGAACTTACAGCTAAGGAATAAGTTGGAAGATTATTTCCAAATTCTTTTACCCAATGATATACAAAAAAGCATCTTTCATAAATGTAACTGTAAGCAAACATTCATGTTTCATCATGGACATAAAGGCATGGTAAACTGAGCTGTCCTTAGCTTTTTATTATAATGTAAATTACTTTGGGAAATCTCAGGAGCCAGAAAGCAATGTAGAATGAGTAGAAAGCAAAATGAAGGGAGTTTTATAGAGCCATTTCAGATGGCACAATGATGCAAACTGACTGAGAATTTTTGTTTTGGGAAAAGATTCTGGGGGAGGTTGTAGAGATAGGCCTTATTTTTCAAATAATGTGAAGACCATCACTGTAGAATTTGCGGTAGTCCTTTTCATGTGGCTTTCTGCCTCAAAATGGTAAGAAATCATGCCACAATTTTTAGCAGTAATGGTCAGATGAGGTTCTGGAAATCACACAAACAGGGCTTGTGGCTCTGTATGTGACCCTCGATAACATGCCATTCTAGAAATGCTGTAAAGAACAGTAGACATTCATCTATAAAAGTGAGATATTTGAGCCACCAAGTTGCTTAAAATATATGCAAATTAAATGACTGATTTACCATACAGTGCTTCCCTTTCCTTGCCAGGTGTCATGGTTAGAGCTTTCTCTCCAGAATTAGGATCTTTAGAACCACTCACAGTAGCTGCAAAAGAGAATAAAAGACATTAAATTCATATTTAGAGTAAAGTCGCAGGAGCCATGCTACAGACCCAGAGTTCTGGCTAACACTTTTCTCTTCAAGCTGCAGCACAGAAAGGTAGATACCGTGGGGATCCTGCTCTATTTTTATGGTATAGGGTTTGACTCATTCCCATGACTCATGTAGAACTAAGGATTATTTCTTGCCCAACCATGAGAAGTACTTCCCAAAAATACTACCAGAGACAAAAGTGCAGTTTCTTGAAGGGTGATTTATAGAACCTATTGTGATTATACAGATATATAAATCCAAAGAGATGAGTAGACATCTGGCTGCCATCAAAATGTTTCTTTAGAAATTGAAACATCTGGTTCAAGTAAAACTTTTTTTTTCTCTCCAGCAGAAGTTTATCTCTCTGCAAATGCAAAAAAGGGACAACCTAAGGGAAAGGGGGGGAGGGAGCCACACACACAGGCAAATAGATAATGGGTTTTCAGAGTTAATGAATAATTCCTTGAAGCTTTACCTATATTTTATGTTCCTGTTCTAGAGAAAGAATGCAGTCAAACGCTTCTATAATGTAAAATATGGCCATAATTTCTGGCAGCTGCCTCTACTGTATAAAAATGTAGTGGTTCAAGAAATGTTGAAACTACCCTGTTTTTTTTAATGGGGGAAAAAAGCAGGAGGCTGGAACTGAAAAAATATGGGCTTTCTTTTTTATTATTATTATTATTATTTATTGAATTTCTATACCGCCCTACTCCCGAAGGACTCAGGGCGGTGCACAGCCATGAAATAAAACACATAGATATACAAAATTTAAAATCGAATAAAATGAATTAAATAAATTTGGCTGAATTAATACCCAATTTAAAATACCCATATTTTAAAATCCATTAAAATTTAGAATTTACACTTTAGAAAGGAGGAGATTTAGGCGAGGCCAGCTTGATGAAACAAAAGCGTCTTCAACTCGCGGCGGAAGGTGCGCAGATCCGGAATCCTCCGTATCTCTGGGGGGAGCTCATTCCAGATCGTCGGTGCCCCCACAGAGAAGGCTCTCCCCCTAGGGGCCGACAGCCGACATTGTTTGGCCGACGGCACCTGGAGGAGCCCCTCTCTGTGGGAGCGTACTGGTCGGTGGGAGGCTGTTGATGGTAGTAGGCGGTCCCGTAAGTAACCAGGTCCCAAGCCATGGAGCGCTTTAAAGGTGGTAACCAGAACCTTGAAGCGCACCCGGAAGACCACCGGGAGCCAGTGCAGCTCGCGCAGGAGAGGTGTTACATGGGAGCTCCATGTTGCTCCCATAACCACCCGCGCGGCCGCACTCTGCGCCAGTTGGAGCCTCCGGGTGCACCTCAAGGGGAGCCCCATGTAGAGAGCATTACAATAGTCCAGACGAGAGGTGACGAGGGCATGAGTGACTGTGCGTAACGAGTCCCGATCTAGAAAGGGACGCAACTTTAATTACTTTTAAAGCTTTAATGACACAAAAGTGTTTATTTTTTAACAGTTACCTCACTAGGTTACATGGTATATCCTGTGCATGTTTTTTCAGAAGACTCAGACTATTTGGGACAGGCAATTCTGAGATTATGCTCCCCTCCCTAACAAAGATATAACTCCTTTATGTGTAACTACACTATACAATGACCCACAAAGAGCGACAGTCATTTGCTTTTCTGTTGTTTTCTGGTTTTAATTTCTTGTTTGCCGCCCAGTTTCAGTAGTCAGATAGGAGGGAGGGGGGAACAGACAGACAGAGACAGACACGTGTGTGTGTGTGTGTATATATATATATGTGTGTATGTAGATAGATAAAATATAAATAAATAAATCCTACACTACTCAAGTACATCTATCTAAGTTTTTGCCATCTGAAAAAGAAAAAGC